AACTGGCTATCTCTAATTAAAAAATGAACTTGACACATGCTTTATGCCTTAAACAAGAATTAACACCAAATAAACCACACACCTCTATGTGAAGTATAAAACTATAAAATTTCCTGAAGAAAATATAATAGGAAATCTGACTATGTGTTTGGTGATTAGTTTTTGGATACAATACCAAAAAATACTATCCATGTAATCAAAAATTGATAAATTTGACTCATTAAAATTAAAAACCTTCCGGAGCCGGGGATTTAGCTCAGTGGTTTGGTAGCCTGCCTTGCAAGCGCAAGGACCTGAGTTTGATCCCCGGTACCAAAAATAAATAAATAAATAAAAAAATAAAAACCTTCCCTTATTCCTTATTCCTCTTCCCCTACCCTTCTCACTGTCCTTACACCTTTAGTCCTTTTCTTCCTATTTCACAATGCTAATTATCTCGTTAGGATCTTGAGTACTATTTTAGTTTTTCACACCAGAGAAACTATTCGGTATTTACACATGAGAAAATGTAAAAATGGAATTAAAGTGTTTGCAGGTCGGGAGGGGAGGAGGGGGTGAAGAGAGGGTGGCGACATGGGGGAAAAATGAGAACCAAGACCTGTCATGTAAAGGTACAAGATCCCAGTAATGAATGTAACTGTACTGCCTACCTAGAATGTACCAATAAATTCAATTAAAAAAAAAAAAAAACCTTCCTGTGTGAGACACTGTTAAGTGAATTATGATAAAAGCTGTAGAATGGGTGAAAATATTTATAAGTTACATGTTAATATAGGACTTGGTCTAGAAAATACAGTGGCACCTCAGTTCAGAAAATTATTTCCACGACTCTGGTTGCAAATTGAACTGGTTATAAAAATTCAATTTTTGCCAGGGATTTAGCTCAGTGGTACCATGCCTGCCTCATAAGCGCAAGGTCCTGACTTCAATACCCAGCACCATAAAGAAAAAGAAAAAAAGAAAGAAAGAAAGAAAGAAAGAAAGAAAGAAAGAAAGAAAGAAAATTCAGTTTTCAACCAATTTAGTTTGTGACCAAAATCGTGAAAAGAATTAAGTTTGTAAACCAAGGGTCCATTATATAAAAAACTCTTAAAACCCCCAAATAAGTAAACAACTCAAAGAAATAGCAAAGGATCTGAACAGGTACTTCACCACAAAAGACAAGTAAACACATGGAAAGATTCTTAGTATTATATGTTGTTAGGCAAATGCAAATAAGCACTAAAAATGAGATATCACTACACAGAGAACAGAATGTACAAACCCCAAAACCCTAATGATAACAAATGCTGATGAGCATATGAAACAAAGGAATTTCCTTTCATGGTTAGTGGGGATACAGAATGGTATAGATGTTCTGGAAGAGATGTGGCAGTTACCTATACAGTTAAACATAAACTTACACACTACCTACCAATCACATAGTATGTGATGTTTCTAGTAGTTGTATCCATAATTGTTAAAAGCTGGATACGATATTCTGTCATATCCAGATGAAATTCTACTGGAATACTATTTGGCAATAAAAAGAATGGAAATTTTAATTTAAGTAACAACATGGATCGATCATAAATGCATTTTACTAATGGACTGTGCGTCCATTCATACAGCATTCTGGAAAAGGCAAGAAAAATACAGGGAAAACAAATCAGTGTTTACTAAGGTTTAGAGGGTGGGGAAGTTCTTCATTGTGAAAGGGATGTACAGGGGAATTTTTAACTTGAAAGCACTGCTTTATATAATATCCTGGAAGGCAGATAGATAACTGGAAAGCATCGTACATCATATAGGGCGGACTTTAATGTAGGCAAACAAACACACAATCAAGCAAAATGTCAAGGATTCCAAGAAACAATGTACCCTATGACAAGTGAATACAATTACACTGAAAATGAACTACATAACTACACTCTAAGATGGAGAAAAATAGGAACTGACCTTAGTAAGTTTGGAAAGCTGAGTTCTAATGGAAACTGCAAGATTAAAACTGTAAGGTAACTGAATATAAGCACTAAACTCTACTCGGTGCACTTTTTCTTGTGGTGAAGTGGGCTAACAGTTCTGAAACTGGAATTGAACAAATAAGTAATTAGATGGTAGACTGTGGGAGCGAGGTTTCATACCGTAGAGAGGGAATTTACAAATAAATAAGAAGGGAAGGATACAATAAATCCTCTTGTGCTGGATTACAGCTAGAGATACCAGTATGAGCTCATTTTTAGCTTTTTATAGCTGCTATAAAAGTATCCATATCCATACTCATATATGGATAAATGGTTATAGTTAGGTGTATACGTGGCTTTGTGTATATATGTGTGTGTGCGTATGTATATCTGTAAATATATATATCTGTGTATATATATATATATATATCTGTGCATATATATATATATATCTGTAATATATATATTATGTATACATATGTGTGTATACATATATATCTGTATATCTATTTATCTATCTGTAAATTACCTACCTGTACCTTTCGAGGTTCTGAAATCAGTGACACCTTAGTAGCAATCAGTACCCTTAGTGTCCAGATCTTGTTTTCCAAACTCCATTTAGAACTAAGGCACCTTGAAGAAATGACTGATTCTAGGGCTGGGGCAGTGAAAATAAAAAATTAACAGCACCAGAAAGTAAGGTGCTAAACAACACAGAAGGATGCAGGCATGCCAAACAAACCTAAAAGAGTGAACCTAAGAGAGCTCCCAAAGATGACGAAAGTCAGAATGATCTGAGCAACAAAATAAACAGGATTTTTATCACTCAAAGTATAAAACAAATATGTGTGAATTCATACCTATCTACATAAATAAGCAGAAGTAGGGAAACAAACCTTCCTCACAGAATTCTAGATAATATATGTACATATTCCTCCCTTTAAGAGGTGGAGCTTAATTTTCCTTCCTTTCTACCCTGAGAATACGCTGGACCTAAGGAACTACTCCCAAAGGATAGAGTATACGAGGGAAAATAGTAACTTCACAGTGGAAACATTTATCAAACACTGCCTAACCCAAGTTGTCAAGGTTAACATCACCGGAGATGAGTCACAGTGATACCCCGTATTCCCTGCTATGATATGCTTAGTATGGCAGTTCACCTTGCTGTCACTCTTCTACTGTCTTAGAACAATTAAAGAAAAAAAGAGAAACACAAATCAAGGGACATTCTACATAGTACCTGACTAGCAATCTTCAAAATTGTCAAAATCTTCAACAACAACAAAAAAGCCATGACAAATGAAGACTGAGAAACCGTCACAGACAGGAAGACACTAAGGAAATATGACAGCTACATGGAATGCAGTGCCTGAATTAGATCTTGAAAGTTAATGGGAAAACTGGTAAGATTAAAATAATGACTCCAGCTAATAACAATGCGTTAATGTTGATTTCTTAGGCTTAAAAAATTAACCCTGGTGATAGAAGACAACAAGATTAGGAGAGGCAAATATAATCAGGGGTATATGGAAACTCTCTGTACTGCCTTTACAATTTTTCTATAAATCTAAATTATTCCAAAATAAATTTTACTTCTTACAAATGACATCCTACTTATAAATTAAAATGCCTTGACAAAATCCAAATGACAAGTGCATCTAAATGACTCATGGAAGAATCTGAAATTTAAAAAGCTTAAAAACTACATATATTTCCCTAGACATAATTAAATAAGTGACGCACAGAAGAAAAGAACAGAAGTAGAGATACGAAGATATTAAAAGTAGTTAATGCTGAGTGCAGAGATATTTTTCTATCCTACTTGAATTTTGTGTCAAATTTTGTACAGATATGGGATGGAAATTATATTGTATATTTTTTAAAATGACCTCACTGTATGGCTCCAGATTGTTCTGTATTGTGCAACTGGGTGCTCTAGAGTCAAATATGTGTTACCACACAGTACATTGTCCCTCTTCTGGAGACTCATAATATCTGGTAGGACGTTAAAGGTTCTGAATAGTCAATTAACTGAGAAACGTTTAACTTTATCTTAACCAGCATTTCCAAAACTATTTAACCATAGAACTTATACTTTCTCAAAACATCTCAGCTATCTAAGGAACCACTTAGGCTTACCTGAACATGTGTCAGAAAGCCACAGTTTGTTTTTGTTTGGTTTGGTTTTTTGAGACAGTCTCACTATGCAGTTTAGGCTGACATGGAACTCACTATGTAGCCCAGGCTAGCCTCTCATTTGCAGCAATACTCCTGCCTCAGCCTCCCAAATGCTGTGATTACAGGTGTGCACTACCACACCCATCTTCTCTCACCAGTTTTTAAGGGAAGAAACAAGTGTTTTTAGAGATTTCTTAGATAGTCTTAGAAAAGGACGAAAATGCCTCTAATTTCTCCAAAATCTTCCTGGATCTGCTTTCTGTGACTTCGTGATCTCTTCTGTTCAGTGTAGCACATGACAGCAAATACTCTACTACACTGTCTCTTACAGATGTGTATTTTTAGGACTCATTTTCCCAACTAAAATGGGGAAAAAACCAAAAGAGTTTTGTCTCTTATTTCTTCTGTGTGTATTTTCGTCCCCTTGTTCACTCACTTTTTCACCATTTGATGCATGCTTGCTGAGTGCCTGCTGTACTCTGGGTGTACTGCTAGCCAGTGCAACACAGAGCAACACCAGACTTCTCCCTTTACTCTGGTGGAGATGAAGAAATGAATGAAACAGACAAAAAACAGACACAGCAGCATCATAAGTGTTAGCAGTGCTCTGAAGGAACGATCCCAGAGGAAACTGACTGGACTTCACTTCGGGAGAGAAATGTGGGCAGGGTAGGAAAGGCTCAGCTGAAGAAGCCATGTGTGAGCTAAGATCTGAAGAATGTGTAGGATTTCACTAAGTATGATGGAGAAAAAGAGGTGGAGGTGAGAGATTATTCCAGGCAGAAGTTCCAGGGTGGGAAGGCAGACAGCGTCATATGATCACACACAGCACAACAGGCTGCCACAGGCAGGTAAATGACCACAAACACCACTGACCATTTTCTTCAACCTCCTCTCCTCCCGCTTTTTCTCAAGCTGAGCCTCTTTTTCTTCTTCCTCTCTCTTCTGCCGTTCTTCTTCTTGGGCTTTTAACCTGGCCTAATTGAGATGAGAATGCAGAAAAATCAGAACCGTCAATCATCATGCTATAAGATCTTTTGTGATAAGGCAAGCTGAGAATCTACCAGAGTGCCTGCCCTGTGTTTGGAGTAAGCCTGCACTTGGATGAAAGTATAAAACCCAACTAATATATCATCAGTTGTGTGACTTAAAAGTTTATCCAGCTAGGTGTGGAAGTACATTCTTGTAATGCCAGCACTTGGGAGGCTGGGGTAGGACTGCCATGAGTTCAAGGACAGCCTAGGCTGCATAATGAGTTCAGAACAAACCTAAACTATAGAGTAAGAAAAACCAACAGCCCTCCCCACAAAAAGGCTCTCCAAAAGTATCCTTTTCTACTTAGCAAGGTGAGAATGAAACTGAGTATGAAAAAAACTGTTACTTTCTCATCACAAAATGATCATTTTTCAGTTCTTCCTTTCACCTATGAAGTACTAATACTGTGTGGAGAAAACTGGTTTCCTTTAATTTCACCAACTCTTTCCCTCAAACTGCTAGAACTGTTAATTTTTTCCTGGTAGGTGGCAAGGTACCTTCCAACAGTCTAGGAAGGTGACTGTTCTCCTTTGTAAACTCATTAATTCACATATTTACCTATATAATCTTCTAACTTGATTAAGTGTGAATCTTCTAATTACTTTAACTTCTGTAACATTTCCTTCCCTCTATACTAATAATGTTGATCCCACCAACCCCCTGATTTTTCTGAAAATGTCACAGAATTCCAGGGTGCAGGCCACAAGCCATTTTCAAAGTTGGTCTAACTTGACTATCTCAGGAGGCTTAAATAGCAGGATTTCATTTTTTTAAAAGAAAGGTTTAGACAAACCCTTTCTCTTGCCTCAGTTTGCATTCTGAATTTCTTACCAATTTCTCCTCTTCTTGTTTTTTCTTCTTTTCTGCCAAGATCTGCCTACGTTCAGCTCGTTGAATTGCTCTCTCTTCCATGGCTAAAGAATAGTAACAAGAGTTCCAATATAAGATATATGGGGAAGACTGCAAAAGAAATGTCTCTATCTCATTGCAACATTTAGGGGTACTGTCAGGGTTTTCTTGTAATTTATGTTTTTTTAAAAAAGATATATACTCTGTAGGTTAAAGTGCTACAATCTCATCTTCAGCAATGATGAACAATTTGTAGACTGCTTTTGTTTATATTTTATAAAAGAAAAACTCTTTACTAGTTTAAATAAGATAATACCACTGGATGACAGTATTATTATATGAAACTCAGAAACAAAAAAAAATTATTATATCTTTAATGAACAAAGAAAACTTTTACTACATCTAATAAATACTCTGGAAATAGAATCATTCCCTACATCCCATTTTAAGTGAGCCTGCCTAATTTTTCTTAAATTATTGTCATATGTCTGTATATCTAACCAAAACAAACAAACAAACTAAAGTTTGGGGTCATGATGAATACATTTTCATGTACTTTTAAGACCTGGATATCCAGATGGGCAGGAAATGGAACTGTACCAGGCATTTGAAGAACTGGCATCAGAATGAATTTGAGTGTCAGACTCCTGTTCTTGACAGTCTATTAAATATCGATCCAAAAGAAACAAATGTGCAAGATGGTCTGATAATCTGACTCTGTAATCAGTCGGGGCTTTCACAGGAAGGGGGGCACTAGCGGGAGGAATACCAAGTTCTGCTCACCTAAGCCAGCCAATAGTTACTTTCAGTTCCTTGCGCCATGTTACAGAGAAGAGGATTTAAGTCCAAGTTTTAAGAATTAATAAACAAAGACTAATCAAGTTATTTCTTACAGACACTGTCTGTTTTGCTACATAGAACAGTGGTGAGGCCACAGATGGCAGGAGCGAGACTGTCCTTAAGAAGCAGAAATAGACTAGAGGATTAAAGCAAGAGAGCCTTGAGAAGTAGTCTTCAGGAAGATGCCCTTTCCTCATCTTTTCCAGACTGAATCATTAAAGCCTACTTGAAAAGTAGACTAGGATTCTAAAATAGCTAACTCCTTGCTCAAAAATAATTTTTAAAAACTTATTGCAGTGAACTGGGCATTTCCAGATCAGATGTAGCAGTGGGCAGTGACAGCATAACTACTGTCCTGGGAGACAAGCAGCACAGACTGACAATTTCTGCCTTAATAGGAAATGATAGGAGGCACAGTGTCCTTCAAATGATATCCTTTCTTGTTAGGGCAGCAATCTTTCCACAAAATATCAAATTTACAAGGCACAGTGTAATTGTCAAAGTGCTGACCACCTTATAAACAGGTACAACGAGTGACTAAGTATATGATAAAAACAATGAGCAGATTCATTATGTGGGGTCTGAGGAATGCTCTTATCCTCAGAGCATTGTTTAGATTTAAAATAAGGGCTTCTCCCATAGACTGAAAGTGAAAGGATGGAAAACAATTCTCCATGAGTCAGGAGCCCAGGAGAAAGCAGGGGTAGCAATCTTATTCGCAGACAAAGTAAATTTCAAACCAAAACTCATTAAGAGAGACAAAGAAGGCCACTATATCCTTGTAAAGGGAACAATTGAAGAGGAAGAGATGGCAATCATAAACATATATGCAGCAAATATAAATGCCCCCAACTATACAAAACAAATATTAAATAACATGAAAAACCAAATAAGCACTAATACAATTTTAGTGGGGGATTTAAATACCCCACTAACACAAATTGACACCTCATCTATGATGATCAACAATGAAATAATAGAACTGAGCCAAGCTTTGGAACACATGGACTTAATAGATGTCTACAGAGTATTCCACCCCACAAAATCATAATATATATTCTTTTCGGCTGCACATGGATCATTCTCCAAGATAGACCACATATTGGCTCACAGAACAGGTCTGAATAAATGCAAAAGAACTGAAGTCATCCCCTGTATATTATCAGATCATAGTGCAATCAAACTGGAGATCAATAGCATAAGAAACTGTAGGAACTTCACAAGCACAAGGAAACTGAACAACACTCTCCTGAACAATCAATGGATTAAAGAGGAAATTAAAGAAGAAATTAGACAGTTTTTACAAAAAATGAAAATGCCAATACAACATACAGGAATCTATCGGACACAATGAGAGCAGTTCTATGTGGAAAATTCATAGCACTGAATGCCCACACTAGGAAAACAGAGCAAGCTCAAATAAACAACCTAATGATGAATCTTAGACTTCTAGAAAAACAAGAGCAAGAAAAACCCAAAGCTCGAACAAGAGAGGAAATTATAAAGATTCAAGCAGAAATCAATGCAATGGAAACTAAGAAAACTATACAAAAAATAAATGAAACAAAGAGTTGATTTTTTGAAAGAATAAATAAAATTGACAAACCTTTAGCTAATCTTATCAAAAAAAAGGCAAGAAAAAGCTCAGATCCATGTAATCAGGAATGAAAAAGGCGAAGTCACAACAGATCCAATAGAAATCCAGAGGATCATTAATATCTACTTTGAGAACCTGTACTCCAATAAAATGGAAAACACAGAAGAAATGGACAGATTTTTAGATACTTATGAATTACCAAAGTTGAACAAAGAAGATAAAAACATTTTAAACACCCCAATTACACTCAGTGAAATTGAAAATGTAATTAAAAATTTACCAACAAAGAAAAGCCCAGGCCCTGACAGATTCACTGCTGAATTTTACAAGACATTTAGAGAAGAACTACTACCATTACTCTTCAAACTTTTCAATGAAATTGAAAGGGAAGCTATACTTCCAAATTCATTCCTGGAAGCAAGTATCACTTTGATTCCCAAACCAGGGAAAGATGCAACTAAAAAAAAAAGAGAACTACAGGCCAATCTCCTTAATGAATATAGATGCAAAAGTCCTTAATAAGATACTAGCAAACAGAATACAGAGGATTATCAAGAAGATCATACATCCTGACCAAGTCGGATTTATTCCAGAGATGCAATGGTGGTTCAACATACAAAAGTCAATAAATGTAATACATTACATCAACAAAGTCAAGGACAAAAATGATATGATCCTCTCAATAGATGCAGAAAAGGCATTTGACAAAATTCAACACCCATTCACTATAAAAACCCTGCAAAAAATTGGAAAAGATGGTCTATATCTCAATTTAATAAAGGCTATCTATGAAAAACCAACAGCCAACATCATATTAAATGGCCAAAAACTGAAAACCTTCACGTTAAAATCAGGAACAAGACAAGGATGTCCACTATCACCACTCCTCTTCAATATAGTTCTGGAAACATTAGCCACAGCAATTAGACAACAGAAAGAAATTAAAGCAATAAAGATAGGAAAGGAAGAAGTTAAACTGTCATTATTTGCTGATGATATGATACTCTACACTGAAGACCCAAAAAACTCCACCAAAAAACTTCTAGACTTAATTGACAGATTCAGTAGAGTAGCTGGATACAAGGTGAACACCCAAAAATCAATAGCCTTCTTGTACACAAACAACAGACTCACTGAAAGAGAAATTAGGGAAACAATTCCCTTCACAACAGCATCCAAAAAAATGAAGTATCTAGGAATCAATCTAACAAAAGAAGCAAAAGATCTCTACACTGAAAACTATAGCACTCTGAAAAAAGAAATTGAAGAGGATATAAAAAAATGGAAAGATATCCCCTGCTCCTGGCTAGGAAGAATCAACATAGTGAAAATGGCCATACTACCAAAACTGCTACACAGATTCAATGCAATGCCAATTGAAATTCCAACACTATATTTCACAGAACTAGAAAAAAGAATCCAAAAATTCATATGGAGCCATAAGAGACCTAGAACAGCAAAAGCCATCCTAGGCAACAGAAACATGGCAGCGGGTATAACAATTCCCAATTTGAAACTATACCACAAAGCCACTGTGATAAAAACAGCATGGTACTGGCAAAGAAATAGGCCTGAGGATCAGTGGAACAGACTGGAAGACACAAAAACAAATCCAGATGTACTCAGCTATGTCATCTTTGACAAAGGACCTGACCATCCTCAGTGGAGGAAAGATAGCCTCTTTAATAAATGGTGTTGGAAAAACTGGATTTCAACCTGCCACAGATTAAAACTGGACCCTTATCTTTCACCATGCACTAAATTAAAATCCAAGTGGATTAAAGATCTAAATATTAAAACAGAAACACTAAACTTGCTGGAAGGTAAGTTAGGCAGAACTCTGGAAGACATTGGCATAGGAAAAGGCTATGAACAAATCCTCAGTAGCACGGGAACTAGCAGAAAGAATCAACAACTGGGATCTCATCTTATTAAAAAGCTTCTGCACTGCAAAAGAAACCATCAGCTCCTCAGACAAAGGACTATTATCTAGAATATATAAAGAACTCAAAACAATCAGCCCCCCCAAATATAAAGACCCAATTCAAAAAATGGGCATCCGAAATGAACAGATAGTTCTCAGACAAAGAAGTAAAAGCAGCAAGTAAATATATGAAAAAGTGTTCCACATCACTGGTCATTTGAGATATGCAGACGAAAACAACACTGAGATTCCACCTCACCCCACAAAGAATGGCTGCTATCAAGAAATCACACAATAACAAATATTGGTGGTGTTGTGGGGAGAAAGCAACCCTTCTCCATTGTTGGTTGGAGTGCAGACTGGTGCAACCACTGTGGAAATCAATATGGAGATACCTCAAAGAGCTTGGACTGGAGGTTCCATTTGACCCAGCCATCCCTCTGCTGGGTATCTTTCCAAAAGAACTAAAAGAATCATATCACAGTGATGTATGCGCACCCATGTTTATAGTGGCACAGTTTGTAATAGCTTAATCTTGGAAACAGCCTATTTGCCCATCCATTGGAAACTGGATAAAGAAGTTGTGGTTTTTCTATAAAATAGAATATTACTCAGCCATAAAGAACGAGAAAATAGATTCATTCATAGGAAAATGGATACATATTGAAGATATACTCCTAAGTGAAATAAATAAGTCACACATGTGTAAATACCAAATAGTTTCTCTGGTGTGAATAAACTGTAATAGTACATAAGATCCTAATAAGATTACTGACATTGTGAAATGGGAAGAAAGGGGCTAAAGTTGTAGGGAAGGTGGGATGGGTAGGGGAAGGGTAATAAGGGAAAAGAAAAAAATGTGAGATAATGAAAAGATGGAAATAAAGCGATTGTAGATGGGGAGGGGAGGGGTGGTTAGGGAGGGCAGGGACAAGGGGAAAAAATGAGAACCAAGACCTGTCATGTAGAGGTACAAGATCCCAACAATGAATGTAACTGTACTGTATCCCTAAAGTGTACCAATAAACTCAATTAAAGTTGAAAAAAAAATAAAATAAGGGCTTCTATGTGCATCAAACTGGTATCAAATTAAGATAGCTGATTTGCATATTTCATTACTAAAACCTTTTCATGAAGGCATAACAGTATAAAATGATGTAATAATGTGACTTGGACTGCTATAAATTGATCATTATTTTAGCACTAACAAAGTACAATAACATCAGTGTGTAACATTAGTGGCTACATGCAGTTTTCTTTTGGTACAGTGCACTTGTGAGGAAGGTGGTGGAACCACTGAGCTAAATCCCCTGCCCAACTTGCAGTTTTCTATTTTTCCAACTCAAATACCACATTACGGTAAAAGGATACACTTTTCAACAATTTGTGAGTGTGTATACATGCGTGTGCATGCATGTGTGCGTGTTTCTGTAAACTGGGAAGGCCAGAAAGGTTGGCAAAAGAGATAGGAAAAAAACGTAATGGTGCACTCTGTTCTTCCCATTCTAACTAAGCCTCAAAACTTAAAAGAGTGGTCAGGACTCAGTCCCAGCCATATTCTACTCCTAGAGAGAAGACAAACACCATCACGATAGCCCTGCCTTTCAGTATAGGATGGGGTGTCATCAGCTGCTTTGGGTTCCTTCTGGGTCCAGAAAGAGAATTTCGGGTGTCTCTTCTACTGCTTTCAGTCCTAGGAGAAGTAACAGATGAACTAGGAGAGAAAAATGGGACGGGGGGGGGAAGGAAAGAAAAAAAACTCAGACCAATAACCAGTTTCCTTCAAAGCATTTTCACATAAGAAATTCAAATCCTTTTATTAATTAAGCTTTCATCCTTTCTTTCTGATAAGACTACACATTATTATACTCAGCCTATAAACTGGTGTAATGAGGTTTGGAAAGGCTGCATGATTGGCTCTGAGTCTATAAGAAATTAGGAATTCTGATTCCTAGTGCTTTATTATTTATTTATTTGGGTACCAGGGATCGAACTCAGGACCTTGTGCTTGGGAAGCAGGTAGTGGCACCACTGAGCTAAATTCCCAGCCTCCTACTGCTTTAAATCAATAGGCATCATAAGTTCTTATCCCATCATTTATCGCACATAGTGAGTATATCTCAGGCATGTCTAAAACTATTTAAAATGATTTTTGACAAATCTGGACTCTTAATTTCAGGCTCAAAGATGTTTAGTTCTATCTGAAACAACAAAAGTAATTAGGTAACGAGCTAACTCAAGGGCTGCTCCATGCACACCTGATGTCGGCAGTCTGAGGTTCTTAGCATTAAACATAATTAGAAACCCAGAAGTCTAGATGGATCAAGTACCTTTCTCTTGTACTGTATAGTTACAGAGCTCTTCAGACAAAGGGAACCATGACCTAAATGCTAACTGTATAATTGAATCCTTACAACAGCCACTTGCCATAAGTACCTATTTATAACAGTCATGTACAAGTTACAATATATGAGACTTCATTGCTTTAAGAGTGCACAATAAAAATAAAGATCATGGAGTTTAAAAGCAAGGCATAGAAGTTCAGTTTCTCTATCTCAAAGTGAAAAACCTCAATAATAACTGGGGACAGTGGCTCATGCTTGTAATCCCAGCATTTAGGGATACTGAGGCAGGAAGACCACAAGTTTGAGTCCACCATAGGCAACTTAGTGAGACCCTGTCTAAAAAAAGGTCTGGGAATGTTTTGATTCCTAATACTGCAGAAAAGAACAAAGACCTCTATAACAAGTCAAAAGAGCATTCTTATATGACAGACATACTTGAGAAGTGTATGGCAGGTTCCTTTTGGCTCCTCTGCTCCACTGGGGTTTGTCCGAAGGTGCCTCTGTGCGTCTGTGAGCACTGTGGTACGTTCAGCTGCCCACCGAGCTTCTGCTAGCCGCTGGTATTCCTTTAGCTTGAGAATGGTTTTCTGCTGTTCCTGAAGTTTCTTCTTTTGCTTCTCAATCAGCTGTTGCTGAAAGACATGGCGGTGGTGAAAATGCCCCATGCAAGGAGGTTCTGCATTCTGGCTGGTGGTTTCCAGCTTTTTGTTGCTGCCAGACTTTTGAAGGAACTCAGCATCCAGGGCCTGGGGCAGGGCCTGGGGCCGCCCACTGTCAGGTGTGTTCTGAGCGACATTCTGAAGGGGACCCTGCAAATTACTCTTTGTGGTTCTTCCTACATTCTTCAAGGGCTTCTTTTCCCCCACAGGGGGCACAACCTGAAAGAGAAGAACATGTTACAGCTCAATGACGTAAAGGACTGGGCTGTTGAGACCATCCGTGCTCATCACTCAGCATCATTTTGTTCAATGATACAACTGCTGTGCACCTCAGCTAGACCTTCCCCGTGTTCCTGTTCTGGTGTCTCAGAGGCCACCAGCCCTGTCCTGTTCAAGAGCCACTCTTAAAATATGCACTGCTGCTCACCACGAAAAGTGGGTGGGAAAGTGCCCATGGCCGTGAAAACCATTGTCATGGGCTAAGACATTTCCAACAGGAAAAATGCTCTCTTTTCAATCTCTAATTTGGATAGTTCATTTGTGGGTTAGGCAAATTATTCCAGATAAATATTATGGAAATTTTAATAAGAGTTGATTCTGAATTCTGCAGAAATTTGAAAATTTTGTGGCAAAAGATATAGTCCATCTCAGTGTTTGGAAACTAAAGAATATATTTGCAAATCAATAGTATCTCTGCTCTTTCAATTCCTCTCTCACCACTAGTACACTAATATAATTCTTCACCATAGTAAAACACATGTATTTACTTCAGCATCAAGGACCAATTTCATGCCTGGTCTCATCTATTGCTAAATTATTTATGAGAAGTATTTGGAAGTCCAGAATTACTAGGTAAATATCTAGATTATAAGAATAATATTACATATATATTTTGTATTAGTATATGACTTACAGCTTTCAGAGCTTTACCACATAAATTTCATTTACTAGACTGAGCTATCATGCTCAATTACAAGTTCTAAACAGGGGAAAAAACAAGCATAACTTATTTTAGCAAAATCTATCTTGACCAAAATAATGTCATGTTAAAATGTCTCATCTAGTTTGGTTCTCTGATCTAGGATCTGATCAGCTATTGATTCTGCCATATGCAATGACAAAGAGTAAATACTATGAGCCATCTATATCAGAAGCTATTAGATTTAACAAGGTGCAATCCTCAGGTACTCAAAAATATTTTTCCTGATGATGGAAATGCTTTCTATAAACTTAGTGAAAGTGAAATGTGTGATATACGGAAACTCTGACGTGTTAAAAACTTTAAAAAATAACCTTTTATTTCAAAACTGTCAATGGATATTTATTGCTTACGTAATTTAGCATCAAGCAGGGTATGTCTTAGGCTCTTTTAAATTCTATGGTAATGACATGTTATTAACACAGCAAGACTGTATAAAAGCCTTGAGCACAGCAATCAGATTTGTTCTGTATTGTGGTAACTTTTTAAGGTAAAAATAAGAGCGTGAAAGAAAAGCTTAATGTTACAGATTGTACTTAATAGAAAAAGAAAGAACAGCCTGGCCTAATTAGAGAAAGTCACCTACTAGCTGATAATTTTGAAAAATTTTAAGAAACAGTATGTGTTTTTGGTACATGAAGTCCTATGACTGCATAATTAATGATCTAACTAGAAATTTTATATTTTCCTTTTACATATTTTACTCTACACTCTGAAAAATATTAATTTATTTAGTAACCTACAGTCTATTGTAGCGCTTTATTTTCGCTTGCTATATTTTTTTCTTACATTATTATGCTTTTTGATAAAATCTTAGATTTCAGAGATTTGGAGACTTTTTTTCTTAAGTCTAAGTTTTTCTTAGGTCGTTATTCTTCTTATATAAATATATATAGAAAGAGAGAGAGACCGAGTGAGAGAGGGAGGGAGGGAGGGACACATTTTTCTGTTTTTCACATGTAAAAATACTTTTTGCTGAATTTTTCCACTTAAGATAATAGTAGAACTTTGTAAGGAAAAAGGTTCCATAGAGCTATTTCTTAAGATATAAGTCTCCCCTGCATTTCAGTGGCGACAAAATTATCTGACACAAATGTAGATAAATTGCTGACCTAAAAGAAGAGACCAAAACAATACCTAAGTATCATTAATCATTTACATTGATCCCTCTTTGCTGGGAGACTAAGTTTAAATTAAAACCAGCTTATTTTCTAGCCATAATCAGGATAAAAAATCAGACTGGAGCTGGGTGTGGTGGCTCATGCCTGTAATCCCAGTACTCAGGAGGCTGAGGCAGGAGGATCACTGTGAGTTTGAGACCAGCCTGGGCTACACAGTGAGTTCCAGGTCAGTCTCAATTACATAGTGAGACCCTGTCTCAAAAACAAACAAACAAACAAACAAAAACCCACAACAGACTGGAAACCACCAATCCTCAGTTTATTTTTACACATCTGAGTTGAGTAAGTAACAGCAGTATGAAGAGGGTGAAGGTGAATGGGGAAGATCACCAAATGCCTTTCTAAACAACACAAGGAAAGAAAAATCTGATAGGACTGACTTTAAGAAAAATTAACAACTATCCATAGGGCCAAACATCATAACTAAACAAGAGAGACAAATGACAAAATGGGAAAAATGTTTTCAGTATGTATATTAATAAAAGCATCAATAGCCTGAAAAATATAAAGAGCTCCTATAAATAAGAAAAAAGAATGTACTTATATCCATATATATATATATATATATATATATATATATTTTACATATCAATTGTAAAAATGTTTAAACTCACTAGTATTTAAAGAAATGCAAATAATGAAGCTACAATAAGACCAAAATAAAACATGCAATCTATTTTCAAATATTTATCCTAAGTAAAGCATCATGGATGTGTACAAAGATTTAGCTAGTAAGATATTTACAGAAGCACTATTAAAAATAGCAGCACTTTGGAAACAATCCAGCAATCGATCAATTAAACAGATTATAGCTTGTGGTTCATTAGAGAATGTTATGCAGCCATTGTAAAATGATAGTGTACTATCCTTAATTATCCTTACATTAAGGGCAGCTATCAGGTTCACCTAGAGAACTTTAAAAAAACACACATAGGTGTTCCGCATCAGAAGCTCTGGTTTAGTGGGTTTAAGTCTGAGGTGTACTTTCAGTTAAGAAGTACAACTGCTGAAGCATATATAATAGTATACACTTCATGTTATATTCTAATACTATATGTTGAAAATGCAAATTTTTTGTAGGAAAACAAAAAAATTACATTAGTATTAAGACAAAAAAAAAAAAAAACAGCCTTCTGTTTCGTGAATTATGGCAGACTAGATTCCTCAATGACCTGGGAGAAAGAAATTTAAGCGCTAATAAAATATTAACAAAGATTAAAGTGTAGATGTGTGAATTAAGACTGTATGGCTATACTTCCATGTTACTAGTGGTGACCTCCAGACGATGGAACTACAGATTATTTTCCTTTTGCTGTGTGGTTTTCTTCTACCAAACTGCTACCATTTTACATATGGCTTATAACTATGAAAACTAATAATTTTAAACCCTCTTCTTCCAAGTCACAAGCTCATTTAGAAAGGAAATGTGTGTAAAGAACAAGAAACCAGAGACATTTATAGCCAAATGAATGCACATGGAGGCCATAATCTTAAGTGAAATAAATAGGACACACATGTGTAAATACCAAATAGTTTCTCTGGTGTGAAAAGCTAAAAGTGTAAACAAGGTTCAAATTGTATAACTGATAATATGAAATAGGACGAAAATGTCTAAAGGAGTAGGGGAAGTGGGAAGGGTAGGCGAAAGGAAAGAAGAGAAAAGGAAAAAATGGAAACAAAATCTTTGTAAATAGGGATAGGGAAGGGTGGGGTGGGGTGAAGGGAGGGCAGGGGAATGAGGAAATAATAAGAACCAAGACCTGCCGTGTAAAGGTACAAGACCCCAATGATGAATGTAACTGTACTGTGTACCTAAAATGTACCAATAAACTCAATGGAAAAAAAAGAAAGGAAATGTGAGAAGATCAAATAAAAGGAGTTAAAAGAGTTACAAATAGTACTCTATCTACCTCTTCCTAAAGCAGTCTTTCACTCAGTTTTTATAAATTCCCTTTTTATGTTATGCCCTTACCAACTTCCAATTCTCCCAACCTTGAGATGTGATTATTAAAAAAAGATTCAAGAAAATAAATACTGCCTGAAGGGTAAACTGTGCACATGGTAGCAGCCTTAAGCTCTCAGTAACCCAGGAAGGCAATCTGATCACAGTGGACATGCTCCGGGCTAGAAAAGTGCAGAGCTCAAGTGAAAGTGTTTAATAAGCAAGAAGACCAAATGAAGCAAAAAACACGTAGAAATGGAGATCCATTTCTTACTGGTAGGTCCACAGTGGCTGTTGCCTCAAGTAGACTGATGCTCGATGACCCACTGGTACTGAGTTTCCCTAGAGATGCTGCCTTCAGCAGCTCATCCATTTTCTTCCTGGTTTCCTCCTTTGCTAGAGCCAGTTCTCTCTTTAGGACCTCTGCACCATGCCAATGCTGCCATTCTGCAAAGTAGTGTCGAAGAACTTGTTTCTGGTGGTACTCAGCGGCCAGTTGTTGTTTTCTAAGTGATAGAACACTTCCATTAAGTAAGGAAGCCATTTAGTTTGTTAGCTGATGGTACTGTATAATCAAAACATAACTCCAAAGGAGTCCCAGAAATGCTCCACCTTAGCTTCAGCTTATCCTTTTACATTAAGCTAAATGGAATCACTCTGCATGTTCCCCAGTGCAATGCTTTTTCACAGAAGGCTTCAATGCCTCAACACATTACCTTCAAGAAAAAAGAACGACTGTTCCCGTCTCTAATGTCACAGAGACATTTTAAGTTGATTGCCGTTATATAGTTTCTGGCAACTTTTGGAGGGGCAGGAGCAAAAAGAAAAGGTATGCAAAGTAACTTTTAAGAGGAATGCTTGGGCCGGGATTTAGCTCCATGGTGTGGCCACCTGTCTCGAAAGCACAAGGTCCTGGGTTCGACCCCTGGTACAAAAAAAGAGGAATGCCTGAGGGAGAGAGACTCAGCTATGGCTGGAAATCTAAGAAAAGTAGGCTTGGGAGAAGAAAAAGGAATAAAACTACATCATCTAAGTAAAACTATGAAGGCAGCTCTTGTGAAAGAGTCAGGGAAGCCGGGCATGGTGGCATATGCCTGTAATACCAGCACTCGGGAGACTGAGGCAGGAGGATGCTGTGGGTTCGAGACCACCCTGGGTTACATAGTGAGTTCCAGGTCAGTCTCAACTACATAGTGAGACCCTGTCTCAAAAAAAAAAAAAAAAAAAAAAAA